AGTTCAAGGCACTCTCAAGAGTCTTCTCCAACACCACAGTTTAAAAACATTAATTCTTCAGCACTCAGCTTTCTTTATGGTCCAACTCTCACATCCTTACATGACTACTAGAAAAACCATAGCTTTGACTAGATGAACCTTTGTCAACAAAGTAATGTCTCTGCTTTTTAATACACTGTCTAGGTCTGTCTTAGCTTTTCCTCCAAGAAGCAAGTGTCTTGTAATTCCACAGCTGCAGTCAAGAAATTCTTATATCTTGACTTAAAAGAAGGGTGCTTCTGCAGCATGCTTGAAAAGGGCAGAAATGTCTTCTTATTTGTCTTCATGCCTGTTTAGTTTGGTTACCAGCATAGAGTCAACACTTAAGCACTACATCAACAGTGATCCATCCATTGATTTTCAGTCAGTCCTGATGCTCAAAAGAAGCTCGGCAAATCAATCCAGCTTTCTGTACCACCTCTAAAATAGTCACTTCTCTTCTTCCCATCACTAGAATTATTCTCAGAAAGACTTCAAATAATCTTTGTTTCAATTAGTTACATGTAATTCATATAGCTGGTAGTTCTTTATAGAAATCACACAAATCCCATGATTTGTGTTAAATAAGGATGGTAAGAATTGGGAGAATGTTTCATTTGTAAGAGCTGTGTCTCTCTCCACAATAGTTCTCTTCTGCTTCCCTGCCTCTGTGATGTTTAGTTATTTAACAAGGGGCAAAACATGTATTTTGTTACGATGAAATATTGTTATTAAATCTAGGATCCCACCACCTGGAATGGAAACCCACATACCGGTTCTCTTCCTTGATTTGAACGGTAAGTAGACACCTGTTGTTCCAAGGCCTGTCACCCTGAATGAGGTTTGCAATCTAGTCAAACCCACAGCATTTTAGCCCTTAAATGACGTGTCTGATCACTTGCATGCCTTATCGAGGTAACAACCAAATGGATAAAACCTGATATATAGAATCACTAAAAGACAGATGTAGAAATTTATTCTTCAAAAAAAAGCACTTGAGAGATTGAGAACTGCATACAAAAACCATCGTAGTTCAGTTATTGCTCGGAAATGGTAACAGACATGGAAACTGCATGAGAAGGTCATCACCCATAAAGTTCTAAATCCTTCTGTGTTGCGGGCGCTCAGGAATCTGCATTTCTGACTGGTGCCCTTTGCTCCCCACCGCCAATGGTGGTGCTTCTAGACCATGATGACTTGTAACCCTACCTGAAGAGTTATCTGTTATTGTAGCAACTAGATTGAACCTGGGTGAACCTAGGACAAATGTCTTCAATGTGTTTTAGCAGCAAAATCTATTTTCAATATGAACTCGTAAATGGAACCCCATGTGTGGAATATGAGAGGACAGCTGCTGAGTTTAGGGATGGGCAGGCCCTTCTGCAGGCCCCTTGGGATTCTCAAAGCACAGCCTAAAAACCTCTCTTCTGGAGGGAAGACCAGGAATAGATGAAGACATGGGAGGTTGACTTTGTCTCTTCATATGGGCAATTATTTTAAAAGCTTAGAAGTAGACTGTTACTTCATGAAGCAGTGAGTTCCCCATTATTGGAGGTTCCCCATTATACAAGTAAAGGCTGAATAACTATATCCAGAGATCTGTAAAGAGTGAATCCTACATTGGGTAGGGCATTGGAGAGGATGGTCTTCAAATTTCTCCCAAATGAACAGAACTTTGTTTCTAAGTTGGTAATTTAACCAATCAAATCTCTAATTTAGTGTAAGTTATATAAGTAGAACCATAAACTGAACACTAGGTTATAAGAGGAATTGGCATCAGAAGGCAGCACAATTCTAAGGGTGTGTTTATGTAGTGAAAATGTTTGCTCCCGGGAGTACATATGGAATATATTCAGTCCATTTTATAGGAGAGTTGCAAAGACATCTTTTTGGCTCCCAGAGTTGTTTCTGTAAAGGATAGAAGCTGTTGTGGACACTGGAATCATTGTTTTAACTGCAGAATAAGGGATGAAAAAGATAAATAAATTGCATTACCTATAAACTTCATCTATAAAAAGCATATTTAAAATTTTGGGGTGCTTGCTTAAAAAAATACCTGGTGTTTCCCCCACTTTTGTATCTGTGCCCTGGACTTCGTCAGCGGATGACCTCAGTGCCAATGAGCAGCTCGTGGGCCCCCACGCATCAGGCGTGAACTCCATCCTCCCCAAGGAGCACGGCAGCCAGTTTTTCTACCTGCCCATCATAAAGCACAGTGACGAGGAGGTAATGGGCCTTTAAGAGTCTCTTAAAAGGGCTTCAGGTTAATGCACATGCCTGTGGGCCTGTCTGCCCATTAAGCTGCTGTGGTCTGGGCTTTTGGGGAAGTGGACTAGGAACTTTAAAAAACAGAATAGATGTGTTATCCAAAAGGTGAGGGAAACCCATCTGTGATTCAGTAGAGTTGCATGTGGTTTTCTAGCTCATGATGTAAAACTGCTACAGCTGAGCTGTCCTATTTCCATGTCCCCCTCCTTCCTGGGTCCCTAGGTTTCAGCCACAGCCTCCTGGGACTCCTCAGTGCATGACTCTGTTCACTTGAACAGGGTCACCCCACAGAATGAGAGGATCTACCTGATAGTGAAGACCACAGTCCAGCTCAGCCACCCGGCAGCTATGGAGCTGGTCTTACGAAAACGGATTGCAGCCAACATTTACAACAAACAGGTAGTAATGGGGCCTGATTCTGCCATTGCATGTTGTTGTTGTTGAGTCACTCAATCGTGTCCGACTCTTTGCGAGCCCATGGACTGTAGCCCGCCAGGCTCCTTCACCCATGGGATTTTCCAGGCGAGAATTACTGGAGGGGGTTGCCATTTCCTCTTCCAGGGGATCTTCCTGACCTGGGGGTGGAGCAGCATCTCTTACATCTCCTGCATTGAAGGCAGATTCTTTACTGATATTTCCCTGGTAGCTCAGCTGGTAAAGAATCCGTCTGCAGTGCAGGAGGCCCCGGTTCGATTCCTGGGTTGGGAAGATCCACTGGAGACGGGAAAGGCTACCCACTCCAGTATTCTTGGGATTCCCTGGTGGCTCAGCTGGTAAAGAAGCCGCCTGCAATGCGGGAAACCTGGGTTGGGAAGATCCCCTGGAGAAGGGAAAGGCTACCCACTCCAGTATTCTGACCTGGAGAATTCCATGGACGTATAGTCCACGGGGGTCACAAAGAGTCAGACACTACCGAGCAACTTTCACTTCACTTTACCACCCTCACCACCTTTATATGAGCACTAAGTTTCTTGCTTCTTGCTTTCACAAAGTGGTGTTTGGGGGTGTTAATTCAGTGGTTGTGCAAATCGCTACCAGGTTATAATCTGATTCTCATTTATCTAAGATGACAGGGTCTGAGGATAGCAGAGCTAAATGTCATTCAGCAAAGAACTCTTCCACCTTGACCAATTTGAGACCCATAATCCTAGGAGGCAGTGAAGTTATGACATTTCTCTGTTTTAAAAAGGTTGAATGCCTGGCTCAAGTAGGTTAATGACAAAACCAGGACAAAGGCAGGCTGCATATAAGTCCATCTCCTAATGCCTCCCCAGATCTCATCTCAGAGGCACTGTCAGCAGAACGGATGCTCTGAGCTGATTTCCGATGCTTCCAGGATGGACTGATTAAACCCTGACAGCATCAAGAAGAAAGATAGCAGATGGGATGGGAAAGAGAAGCAGTGAATCCCAGATTTCTCCTAAGAGAGAAATTTTTCCAAATGTACTTTTCCCCCTGGAGTAAAAGATTTTTTTTTTCCTTGAAGAAATTGTACAGCTTAAAAATCACTTTCAGTTTTTTTTTTTTTAAACAGTGGTAAAACTTTTGACAGGCAATATTAATTACATATGATGATGATGTATAGTATGTTAATGTATAATGTGGTCTTCCCAGGTGGCTCAGTGGTAAAGAATTGGCCTGCCAGTGCAGGAGACACAGAAGACCTGGGTTCCATCCCTGGGTGGGCAAGATCCCCTGGAGTAGAAAATGGCAACCCACTATAGTATTCTTGCCTAGAGAATCCCATGGACAGAAGAGCCTAGCAGGCTAAAGTCCATTGGGTCACAAAGAGTCGGACACAACTGAGCAACTAAACATACACACAGTAAAGAGAAGCAACCACAGAAAGCCCTGGCTGGACTGCAGATTCTGTCATCTAATCCCCAAATTTAATAGCTGGATGTTACTGTCCTTCAGGATTAAGGACAAAGATTTTTCCATTCAGTGTTCTTCTGTTTTACTGTGTAGTGTATGTGTATCAAAAACAGTCATTGGTTTTTTTTATAATTTATAAAATACTAAATAGCTTATATTTTCCACATTGCTTAATTTAGCTTTCCTTTTCTACCAGAGTTTCACCCAGAGTTTGAAGAGGAGAATATCACTGAAGAATATATTTTATTCCTGTGGTGTAACCTATGAAATAGTATCCAACATACCAAAGGTAAAAAGCATGTGTTACTTTTTTGAAATGTCAGAATCTGAGTATTGGAGAACGAGTTAGGTCTCAAAACTTTTAAACCATTTTCTCACCACAATTTTGAGAGAAATATTGTTCACGTAACAGTAATCTAAGTGCCTGCTTGTCTCCTTAGGCAACAGAGGAGATTGAGGACCGGGAGACGCTGGCTCTCATGGCCGCGAGGAGTGAGAACGAAGGCACGTCGGACGGGGAGACGTATATCGAGAAGTACACTCGAGGCGTGCTGCAGGTGGAGAACATTCTGAGCCTGGAACGACTCCGGCAGGCAAGTGACTGCAGGGTCTGGACTGGAGGGTGGGATCGCCAGCAAGTGAAAACTGAAAGTGGTAGATGCTCAGTCGTGTCCGACTCTTTGCGACCCCATGGACTGTAGCCCACCAGGCTCCTCTGTCCATGGGATTCTCCAGACAAGAATACTGGAGTGGGTTGCCATGCCCTCCTCCAGGGGACCTTCCTGACCCCAGGGATCGAACCCTGGTCTCCTGCATTGCAGGCAGATTCTGTACCATCTGAGAGATCACTAGCTTCCCTAGTTTTTGGACCAAGCTTAACCTCTGTGGCAAGATACTGCCAGGTGAAAATAATCCACTAGGTCATGAAACTCCAGAAGAGGTGTCACTCGATAGAGGCAGTAGAAGTTATGAAAAGTGTGCTTTGACCAAAAAGAGGACCAAGATTGGCATCTGTCAGGAAAATCTTCCTTTAGTGGAAGTCCTGCCCAAACTGTGGCAGAGTGAAACGCAGAAGCATAAAAGTTGATTGTAATTTCACAAGTGACATGTATCGTTAGTGATATTTCATCCGTGTTTTCTCTACCCACCTATATGTAAATCTGCAGCATAAAATACCTTTAGTTCATCAGTCTTCCTGGTTTTATTTATGAAAAAATATTTTTCACAAATTAAGCAAAAAAAAATTAGTGAAAACAATAAGATCCAGTTTTGTAAATACAGGGTGGGGATGGCTTGTAGTGTAGGCTTGAAATGACGTTTATTTCTATACTTTTGAAATCTTTCACAATAAACATATATTCCTTTTGTCATCAGAGGAAGAAAAATCAGTGTCATTTTCAAATTTGCAGGCGGTCACGGTCAAAGAAGCGCTTTCCACCAAAGCTCGGCACCTGCGGCGAAGCCTCAGCACGCCCAACGTTCACAATGTGAGCTCACCTGCGGCGGGGCTGTCTCGTCCAAGTGACTCATCTCAGGGTTTGGGGTGCAGCAAGTCAGGGGAATCAGGTCAGGGTTTATCGGCGGGGAGAATTACATTTGGCCCAGGGTGTCAAGCCTGCGCCTCTGTTCTAGAGATGCCCACCAGAGAGCCATTACAACTAACAGGACTCTGTGTGTGTGTGTGTGTGTGTGTGTTGCTCAGTTACGTCTGACTGTTTTGCGACCCATGGACTGTAGCCCTGTCCATGGGAATTCTCCAGACAAGAATGCTGGAGCGAGTTGCCATTCCTTTCTCCAGGGGACCTTCCCAACCCCAGGGATCCAACCCAGGTTTCCCGCATTGCAAGCAGATTCTTTACCATCTGAGCCACCAGGGAAGCCCCAAGCTTTTAGTGGAATCTTGCAAATTTCTCTACGTAGAGTTACATATCCTTGGAAGAAGTTTCTTGGGATGTGACTTGCATGTTGGTTTAAAGATGGTAGGGTCAGAGGTCCTGTGCCAGCGCTTCTGAGTCCTGCTGTCCAGTCTGTGCCTGCTTCTAGCTGCCCCAAGGATCTCACTGTCGGTGTGATAGGGTGCCAGGCACTTCCATGTAGACCCTCCCATGGTGCCTGCTGTTTAGGTTGATGACCTTCCTCAACAAACCATTTCAGCAAGGAAACCCAGTTGACAGACACTGTGTCTAGTGGAAGGCAACACTGTCACAGGAAGAAAGGACAGAGGAGTGCGTGGACCACTTCAAAGTAGCCTCTTTCTCGAAGCAGCAGAGTGAAAGACAGATCCTTTCAAGGAAAACTACGATTTGCTTTCCTATTCTCAAGAATTGCCAGATAATGGTTACAAACATGATGAACATTTATTTAATATTTTTTGATCCTGCATGACATGTAGGATCTTAGTTTCCTGACTAGTGATTGAACCTGTGCCCTTGCATTGGCAGCTTGGACCAATGGACCTCCAGGGAAGGTCCCCTTGGTGAACATTCATGAAACTTGTCTTACAGTAGTCCGAAAAGCAAATCCCTATAATCACTTTCACACAGATCACGTTTTCTGACCACATTTCAGTTCTTTTAATTGATGAGACTCATAAAGTTGTGAATTGGGGGGGGTGGGGTGGACACAGTTTCTAATTAATTTAGGCATCAAAGAAGAGATCATAATGGAAATTAGGATGTATTTAGAACTGAATGATTTTAAAAAAAATGATACATATACCTATACTTGAGGGATGCAGTTAAAGAGGGAGTTCCTTAGCCCTGCTGCTGCTGCTAAGTCGCTTCAGTCGTGTCCGACTCAGTGTGACCCCATAGATGGCAGCCCACCTGACTCCTCTGTCCCTGGGATTCTCCAGGCAAGAATACTGGAGTGGGTTGCCATTTCCTTCTCTATCTTTAGCCCTAATTTTCCTGTTATTTCGTTTGTACTGCAGAATGCTAGATGGTAGAGAAAATGAAAGCACTAGAGCTGTTGTTGGGGATAAAAAAGGAAAACTCATAAATTAAAAAAGACATATATCATCCAGTTGCAATGGATGATCTGCTTTGATCCTGACTCAGAATTAGCTGTGATAGTGTTTATAGACATTTAACCACTGGGATATCTGATACTATTTCAGTTCAGTTCAGTTGCTCAGTTGTGTCCGACTCTGTGTGACCCCATGAACCGCAGCACGCTAGGCCTCCCTGTCCATCACCA